TGCCCAGATCCACTGCTGTTTCGATGCATCACTACATAACATTACCATGTATTGGACTGCTTTTTCTATTGATTTTTTGCAAAACATGATGTTTTGGTGCTTTATTTGTAAAATCATAATGTAATTTGACATTTAACAGGCTTTTCCTTAATATCAAACATTTTTGCTTATCCAATGTTCTGCCAGCCCATTTATGTTGGATAAGCAAGACTCTACTGTATTACTATTTTAATTATATAACCATTAAGCGAACTAAATATAGTGGGATTTAATAGTGTGCGGAAAGTTGGAAGTCTCTGTAATAACACCTACAAAAGAAGAAACAATTTGGCATTTTATTGTCTTTTTTGCATTATAGTCCTCTGGAATAGTATTCTTGGGGGGTATTTTGACAAAATTAATTCTGTTTTTTCTCAAGAAGTTTATTGTCTTTAGGTTCTGTTTTTAATACCAATTTACGTTCGTTGGATGTAAATTATACCAAGGTCCTGAAAAACAAGTCCTTTAAAAATATGTTATAGACCATCGATTTTCTTATACGTCAAGCTCCTATCAGGTCTTCTTAAGTGCAAAATATTCCTCTGGTTTGCTTTAATAAACTAATCTAATAGCATAAACTGCAGTCTACAACTAGCTGTCATATTGACAATTATTAGGTCTATATGTCACAAAGATTTCCTTCCAGATAGAAGCATACTCATCTTCAAGATAGTTTACATATATCAGTTCCATAAAACAGTTTTGTTATCTAGATTCCAGAATTTTAATACTGGCATTCTAGTATCAGCTGCTCATAATTCAGTACACAGACTATTGAAGAAAGAGGCCTTACACAAGCCTTCTTTGCAATTCTGTTGTTCCATGATGATAGTAGTGTAGTTTCTGGCTGAGATTCCTTGATGTCTGATTAGGTACAAATGTGTAACTAAGACTCTTTTCTCAGTTTCTCAGCTTTCTGAAAAGTCTGGGAATCCTCATGAGAGGAAAAGTAGTTGGCCCTCCCACCAACACTTATTTTTCTTACCCCTCCCATTCTAGATTGCATGGACGCAAATAGGAGCATTCTGGAGAAACAAACGGCAACTTTTTGTCAGTTTGATAGAAAGTTCATAGACAAGAATATACTATGATAAAAACAATTCATTTAAAAAACATCAGATAATCCAAAGATGCATGTCTTTAAGATTTCCTTATTATGGTCTTCTAGATTTTAGTCTTAGATTATGGATGGAGACAGATGGACACTTGCATAACTTCAGTGGGTAAGATAGATGACATCTGAAATGGGGTTGTTTCTTGCAAGCGTATTTCAAGAAATTGAATTTCCCCTCTTGCCCTCCCCATCTGCTCTCAGTGATCACTCTGACAGGTGTACTGTACATGGGAAGACAGAGGTATTTTTTCTGTCCATGATCTTTATCCACTAGCAGATCAACACACAGGATATGTGTGAGATATCCTGTAACAGATCAATTCAATGTTCTCTCTTTAGGTCAAGTTATTAATGTTCTTTTAAGCCACAGATGGTGTGTTTCTCAAAAAAGAAAAGGCAGGATTAGAAGAGTGTCTTTACAAGCCTGTCACTGCTTCATTGAACAATAGATGTGGCACAATTAAAAAACCTGAATGAAATTCAAATCAATGCCTTTATATATAAAAGGAAAAAATGTAAAAAAAAACAACACCCCACCTTATTACATGTGGTGCTTTAGCACAACTAGGTTAAAAAATATTTTATAAGGTCAGCAACTTTCACAAGAAAGCCAAATGGAGGAGTGGGTGGAAAATGGCAGCAGGCCATTCTTTGCTCAAAATGGAATAACAGCAAGTTCTAAAACATGTTCAACTAATATGACCGAATCCTATCTCCTCTTGAGGTTCTAATATGGAGAGCAACAAGTCTGAATAGAACATCCTTTATGTATAGACACTCACAATGTGATAGGGAACTGGAAAAAAGGGCCCCCAGTCATGTGAAGAATGCCCATGCTTAATGGGAAGCTCCCTGAATTAAGACAGCAAAGGACAAGGGAAGGATACACCACACCTCATGTATTGAATGGACATGTTTAGATAACAACCAAACTCTCCCTCAAATCCAAGGTCAACTCCATAGTGCTTTAGAGGCCAAAGCCCATTTTAGGAGAATCCCATTTTAAAACAAGAAATGACTTCTGGCTTGTTTCTTAAGACTGTCCTAGTTTTTAAGGGCTTCTGGGCCGAAAACATTGATGGAGGGGGACAAACATGGTAAAATTGTCTCTTTCAGCCCTGTAAGTAAAAGTAAAAAATTATTTTGGAGTAAGCATGCGGTACAAGTTTGGCAAGAGGAATATCTAGTTCCAGGTATGATCTTTCTTTACCTTCAATACTCAATGTAGCCATTGTCTCATTTTCATTAAAACAAGATTTGCAATAAACCAGCACATTTTAATTATGCTGGAGAAACTAAGTTGTTTTTTTACACCAAAGACCAGTGTAATTACATCTCTTGGCTTTTTAAAGGGCGATCTTTAGTTGTATATCTAGCAATACTGGTACATGAAAAGGAGACCAGTACCACCATGTTTTGAGTTTAGTATACTAACCTTTGAAGACTGACCCAACAATTCTCCATTCGCTATTTAGGGAACAAAGAACATCAGGTTTGTAATGCGACATACACCCCAAAGGTTAAGCATGACAAATTCAAACAATTATTTTGTCTACAAGACAGCAGAAAATATTTTGGGACAGCCAGTGGTTCTGTACATCCATGTCACATTTCACATGGAGGAGTGTGAAAGATGTATAATTTTCAAATAGTTACAAGTTGCTACCTCACATATCTGCTACTATATTGATCATAAATTCAAACTATATATGCAAGATATGAAGGTTCAAAATATTATGTCAAAAGACAAGCAGGTGCTTTTTAAACAATTCACATTAACTATTGATAGAAAATGGACCTTTAGTTTAAAACAATTGTGAATATATTTATAGCAAATAGCCCAGTTTCTGTCACCTCAATTTTCTCAGATTGCACACTTGCGATTTTGATTATTTGTGAGAGGAAAAGGAACTGGGATCTGCATGCTATGTGAAATGGCATATGGGGCAGGCTGGGACTGCAGTAGCAGCACCTCATTACCCTTTGGAGATATTCATTGTTATTCTACTTTCCACTTCACCTGTAATGCCTCCTCCCCCAAATGAAAGTGGAGAGACAACTGTAATACAGGGTGCGGCAGCATAACTTCCTTTTTTCAAAATGCGTGCCAGTCGATTGAAGATGTAGCTGAGCACTAGTGGTCTCGTTCGAGAGGCGGGAGTATAAAGTTTTGTCCTGACACAGTTCAGTCGCCATCATGCGTTGGAACAGTGAGGAGCGTGCTTTTGCCGTTGAGGCCTACTTTTCAAGCGGATGTTCTGTGATCGCAACCCAGCGCGGCTTTCGGAATCACTTTAATTTAGCCCCATTGGCCCGTCCCGGACCGGAAATCAATTGTGACATGGGTCACTAAATTCAGACAAACTGCAAGTGTGACAAGATGAACAACTGGAGTCCCTCGGCCCATTAGATCACCTGACAACATTGAGGCAGTGAGAGCTTCAATGTTGCGATCACCATGGTGTTCTGCGCGCAAACATGCGTCTGCCCTTGGACTTTCCGATCGTTCTGTGAGGAGAATTCTTCATGATGATCTTCATTTCCATCCTTACAAGATGGCGATTGTGCAGGAACTTTCTGAACGTGACTTCAATTCTCGGAGGAACGTGTGTGAGGTTCTTCTCAAAGTTGTTCCTGAGGACGCTATTGTTTTTTTTAGTGATGAAGCCCATTTTCATTTGTGTGGATCCATCAACAAACAAAACATGCACTACTGGGCTGACAACAATCCTCGAGAATTGTATCAAAGGCCTTTGCATTCACCTAAAATCACAGTGTGGTGTGCAATTTCCGCAGCTGGAATTATTGGTCCCTGGTTCTTTGAGGAAGATGAAGTTGCAGAGACAGTGAATTTGGACTGGTATGTAAACATGTTACAGGATTTTTTTCCCCTATGGCTAGATGGTTTGGACTTAGGGGACATTTGGTTCCAACAAGACGGTGCAACTGCACACACTTCAAGAGCATCGATGGCTGTTTTGAGGGAACACTTCCCAGAGCGCCTCATCTCAATTAGGGGGGATTTGGAGTGGCCGGCCCACTCTCCAGATTTGGCCCCATGTGATATTTTTCTATGGGTTTTTTTGAAATACTGTGTTTATGTGAACTGTCCAAAGACCCTACAAGATTTGAAGACCAACATCCAGGAAGAAATTGCCAACATAATGCCTGCTATGCTGGCAAGAGTCATGACAAATGCCAGAAATCGGTTTACTCAGTGTATGGAGAATGTGGGACGTCACCTACCTAATTTGATCTTCAAAACTACGTAAAATAAAACTTTAGGTATGCGCCTACATTATAAAAAAAATTCTGATTCATACAATGGGTTTTATTAAGTTTTGAAAAAAGGAAGTTATGCCGCTGCACCCTGTATATATAAGGTAGGTTCAAGCATATAGGCTAGAATAATCTTTCGTGTAACTCACTAGAATATTATCTATAAAGCAACTCCCTATACATCTAAAAGTTAAATCTAGTAATACCTGTTTTTTGTGCATCACTACGTATTTCTGTTTTTTTCCGTGATGGACATACAATATAATACTACTAAGAAGCTAATGATCATCTATGTATTCTGTCTTCTTTGTTGCTTACTATTGTGAAATTGGCAGGCTGACATTAGTGTGAGCACATAGTTGAGATACTGCAACACAAGAGAGAGCATGTGATTTTAACATTTTAACACTTAACATGTTATAATTCCCAGATACTATTGGTTTTTTTCATATACCAGGTCTTATTACTTCTGTTATAGAATAAAAACATTTTAAAAATAACAAGATCTAGGAGTAATTTGCTTTGGCTCTGCCACACTTCCCACAGTAACAATGGTTCATAAACCAAAACAACAAAAACAGGCTTTTATTCAATTTCTTGATTTACAGAAACTTGGAAGTAACTTTGGGAAAATCATAGTAGGTCTAGGTAGAGGTATTGGCTTCTTGCTTTTGGCTAGCACTGTAATAACCTGGGAATATGAGAAGAGGTTCCCTGTATAAGATACTGCAGTTCATCAGAGACGCAGTTCAAATAGACATATTGAAATATCAAAATTAAATCCAATGCTCTACTTTGACTGGTGACTTGCAAAAATACATTTCAGTTTGTTTTAGTGCATAGCTGGCACTTTAGAGAATTTTATTTGGACAAACATTTACTATTTACAAAAAACACCATCCCATAATCCCATCAAGCCGTTTGCTTTCTAATATAGCTGATAAGCCACAGCAGGTTGAACTAAAATATCACAAATTAGTAAAAACAAAATATAATTGTAAACTTTTGCACTGGATGTATTGCATTCATATTCCAGTTAAGTTTAAATGTTAAGTTAGGAATATGGCCATATGGCAACTACATTTGCAAGAGCTGCAGCAACATGTTAGAGGAGGTAGCAGATGCGCAGTTAAATCTGAAAAGCACAGGCCTACCCTGGCTGTAAACATTTCTAGAGCAGGAGTTATACATCTTTTAAGTACAACAGAAGAGCTTCTGAATAGGTTAGGAGACCCAGATAGTTATCTGAACTTAATTTAGAACAGTAGTAATACAACTGAAGGCAATTTAAATGATAAACATAATATATTAGAAAATTTAGGTACTAAAAATTCTAGGTGTACACCTTCACCATTCTGCTGAATTTGGCCATCAGTTTTAATCCACGGCTGTATTTTTTGTATCTTCTTACAATTAGGTCAACAGGTAAAGTAGTCAGTGGAAACATCCACTTAAATATATTTAAGTGTGCAAATTTTGTCAAAATGGTTTGTATACAATTTGTGTAAACGCCCTGATTTCAATAAAGGGTTTCCATCCTTCTATATATATCTTAATATACTGGTTATAAGATATCTTAATATATATTGGCTATTTGCAATACTAGTAGTTAAGGCCTCTTGCTATATACAGTTTCTCAGTAGTGCAACAAAAATAATCTTTAATATCTTGATTAATATAGCAGACACACATTTCAAAATTTCAGTACAGTAAAATTGCAAAATTGTAACATATCTTGGCTATAAACACATTTTATGGTTCATATGAAAAACAATGTTTAAAAAATATTTATGGTGACTAGTCTCCTGTGGTTCCTAGTAATGGGTTCTGCCATTCTTTCTTCACAAATATGTTTTGCTTTTTTATACAATTACGTAGCAGAAACACTTTCACAACTTCAGCAGATAGCCGGACAAATCCCAAATGCAGCAAAGGCATACATACAGTTTTCATAGTGCACTTTCACCTCACTGAAGTAAAAGTAGCTCCTATTAGATTTTTTTTCCACTTCAATGTGAAGCAGATGGTTTTTAGTGGTTGCATTACACAGTCTGATCTTCTAATATCCTCTTCTGTCAGACAGTTTCCAGAAGAGAAGTCCTTTCGGAAATAGTACACAGTTCAGTGTTACTTGAAGGGCTTTTTCTTGGCAGCCAGCACACAGTAGTGCATACACATATACTTTTGTCCTCCAGGAACGTCAGTGCAGCTGTAATAAATAAGCATCCACATCCTAAAAAGCAGAAGATAAAAAATATTTGTTCAAACAGCAATTTATGGCATATAGCAGAGCTGGAATTCTAAGAAAAGGATACCATTTGAACTCGTTGCTCATCCTGCAGTCACTTAATGAAATGAAGGACTTCCCGAGAACATACTCTCGGGAACATACTCTCGGGAAGGTAATATTTTGAAAGGACATTGACCAATGAAATGATCCCAGTTTATTTAGTCTAAGTTCTCAATGGGTCTCTGTAATAGTAAAAAAGCACAGCAGCGGACATTTCATATTTGTTTAAAACAATTCGAAAAACCCAGGATGTATAGGCCCATGCCCATATCAATAAACTGGGACAGAGAGCTGCTGTTGGAGACCTAACAAAGACTTCAAAATAAAAATTCATGTCACAGTAAGTCACTATAACTGAATTTCAAGTCAGGTCATGTAGCTTTAACACAGTTTATTATTTTCCTTTTTGTCATCATTATGACTAGATTACCTTTGCTATATTACCCGTATATCCTGGAACCAAAGTAAGATGATTTTCTTGTTTCCACAATCCACTTAACTGTTCCTTTAAAATTTGAATATTTCTGTAAAAGAAAAGCACAGGTATATAATTACATAGCAGTCAAGTACACAGTGGCAGCTATTGAACTTAAATGTTTATAACTTACCCATCCTCTATCTTTTCAGTATTGGCAGAAAGGTCTGACCACCATCTCTTAATCACAGCCTGGAGCCAATTTAAACCAACGATGACATATCTGAAACAGTTTTTGAGGTGTGTTACAAAAGAGGCTAGAAGAGAATTAAAACTTGAGAAGAAATCAGATAATTCAATTACTATTTCTTCACACACACACAGAAGAAGAAACTAGCACGGGAAAGGGGGAAAAGAAGAGAATTCCAGAGGAATTTCTTTTTTATGATGAATTTTTCAAGTCTAATATTTTCATAATGCAAAGAGGGTTGCCAGTTGGATACAATTTTTTATCCTCAAAAAACTGTGGGGCAAAATTCCATCAAGTGGGACAAAGATACCTTTCTTATTTTATTTTTTAAACTCTTGATTTTCAGCCTCAGCTATCCCCTCCCAACACTGCAATTGTCAGTGGGAAAATGGTAACTGGAGAAGCTGTCAACATTTTCTGATTATTTTTACCCCCGGGGAGTGACATATTGGCTTGGATGTTTATATTAAAGCCCATGAACCACACTTTAGCCATCCCTCATTTAGACTAGATGGGGGAGGGGGGGGGATTGGTCGTGAGGGGGTTTCAGAAGGGTTACCAAAGACCATCAGAAAATATATATTTCTGATGCTCTTAGGAACCTTTTGACAGAGAAGGCTGATGATCTCTCTGCCTGACGTTCTTTTCCATTTTGGAAACAGATAGCAAATCCTCCCACCAAAAGCCCTCCTCCACTGTGATTGGCCAGGCTTACAGCTGACCTCTCAGCCAAAGGGAGGACTGTTTCTGAGAGTACAATCAGAGAGGGGAGAGAAGGTGTGCTCTCCACATGGTGTGCATGTGTGAGCAAGGGAGAGCATGAGAGGCTAGAGGGAGGCTCGTGGCAGTGAGTCTCTTCAAGTCATGGGGGTTCTGTGTGGGAATTTTGGCCCAATTCTATCATTGGTGGGGTTCAGAATGATCTTTGATTATAGGTGAACTATAAATCCCAGAAATTAAAACTCCCAAATGTCAAGGTCTATTTTCCCCAAACTGCACCAGTGTTCACATTTGGCCATATTGAGAATTCGAACCTGTGACTTTTCAGTTCAGCGGTTTAACCCACTGCGCCACCGGGGTAGCAATGAAAATAATTTTATGGTTGGGGGTCACCACAACATGAGGAACTGTATAAAGGGGTCGCAGATTTAGGAAGGTTGAGAAACACTGGACTAGATGGTTTCATTACTCATTGAATGTAGTGGGCACATTCACCATGAATGTATTTAAATGTGTTACAGCAAATGTATACAATGAAAGCGAGAAAGATTGTGAATGTGAATGTAGACAAGTGAATAACTACAAATGTTTTAGCACAAGGGAGAATCTTATATGATCTGAGACCTTAATCCAGTCCTGCAATTCTACGCATCATACTTAACAGACTTAACATCTGATTGAAAAAGATCAACATTTTAATCATCAACATTTACAAGATAACTATGTTTTAACTTACTCTTCAAATTTGCTTTTAAGCATTAATTTTACTAATGGTAGAAGGTCTACACAGCAGCCAACAGAAATATATGGTTTTTCTTCCTGTAAACTGAAACAAGGAAGTGTCAGTATTCATGAATTTACACTTCTTTAATTTGAAATCCACACACTCCCTCCCCTAGAACTTTTTTTTACCTGCTGGTCAGAACAGGAAGACAATCTACCAGCACACCCAGATCCTGTATCCTAGAAACATTAGTGAACAATACATTAGATACTATTTTCTGATAAGACTTTTTACTTTAGACTTTTACGCTCATTATCTGAGGAGCTTGCACAAATTTTTTAGTACAACAGATAAAAACCAGTGTTGTCTCTTTTCTTATTTTAGAAACACACAAATAATAGGAAATGGCATCTAAGGAGAGCTCCCACAGGCTTCTGAGTCCACTTGTCCACCACACCTTATTTATGGATAGTTATGAAGGCAGCACTGGCCTCATTAAGATAAATGGAAAGTCAGTAGATGCCCCATATAGGCTCTACCAGTGCTCCTTCTTTGATATGGTTTCCTCACAAACAAGTTCTGTGCTAGTGATGGACAGGATTATGCTGCTAATTTTCTCCATTTTTACCTCACTAAATAGGCTATGAGCTCGCTTATACTTCTTCTTCTCCAGAAGGTCAAAGCTACATTCAGCCGAAGATTTCTACTGAAGAGAACTTGTGCCATTGTTTCATGATCTTCAGAAACCTAGGAGACATAATAATTTAATCATCATAATCTAACAACTGTCATTCTATATCTCTGTTACTTTGCATCTCATCAGTGCTACCATATTCCACTTAGATAATTTGATCATTTAAAAAAAATATTATCGAACAATGAACAATTATGATGTCCTTACAAATAATGAGACTTCATGTCTCAGCTTTGCTCCACTTAGTTGCCTTCTCTTCCTCTCCCCAATGCAGTAAACTGTATTTTCCAGGTGGAATAACAATCTGTATAGCCTGTACATACTATTTTTTTTGAGACAGCAAAATGCTATGGTTCTTGTGTTTCCACTCTAAGACAATTTTAGTTATATCAGGATTCTAAAGGAATGTTTAGTACCAAGGGGTTTCACACAATAGACCAGAAATGGTCAAACATCTGTATCCTGGAAGACATTCTACTGTCCCCATTGATTCAGATGCTGTGCCTCTTAGTGCTAGAGAAGATTTTTTTCTGACTCCCACTCAGTAGTTTTAAGAATTTCCATTTCCTGTAATAAAAAGCAATCAAAGAAATGGGAGCAGTCTAATTTAAATTCAAAGCCCAAGTTTTGAATAACATCTCCTTGACACAAAACTAAATAAGAGAGGGAGGCTTCTAATAAATAATTTATATCTCTGTTAAGAGTTTGTGAGATGACTAAAGAACCACACTTAATAAAGTTAGCATTACACATTTGAATGCTTTGGGAGGAAAAAGAAGGAATGAAATTGCAACAGCACTGTAGCTGAAACAGTACTTCAGTAGATTGGATCATGAATGGTATTTGTTAGATGTACACATATGGTGTAGCAACCCCCAGCAAATAGCCCATATTACAAAAAGAACATCTAAAAGATGTTGGCATGAATATGGGGAAACTGGAACATTTTCCATATGTGATGGGACTGTTCCAAAGTACAAGAATTCTACAGAAAAATAAAGGGGGAAATAGAGGAATTATGAAAGCAAAACATAGGGTGGAATAAGAAACAGTTTTTCATCCTGAAACTGGAAGGGAAAAGTGGCAATAAAGATTGGGCTGAGATGACTAAATATATACTAGCTTTGGCCAAGCTACAGTCACCCTGGAATGGAAAGAACATAAAAAATGAGATATACAAAAATGGTATGAATATTTAGCAGACTTTATGCTCCAAGATTACATCATGGATAGGAAAAATAAATATACCAATGGATACTCCAGGGAGTAATGGGAAGGGAAATGGGGAAAACTGATAGCAAAGGCAAAAGGCAACAGAAAATATAAGAAATTGACCTAGAATATCCCTATGATCCAACAAACAGAATGAATGATAAAGGAAATATATGAGTGTTCCTGGAGGGAGGGGGGTGAACGGGAGGGGGGAAATAGTGGGAAAAGGATGGATACAAGTAGGGGATGAAGGCAATTACATATTAAATGTTTTATCTCTTTTTTGTTAAATTGCTAAAATACATAGATTATATAAGATGCCTATGTTATTTTCTAAACTTCCTCATGAAAAAAGTAATGTTATACTCTACTTGTTTGACCCAAATGAACTAAAATAAGATGTACACATATACATCCCCTTCCAGAATGAAAGAAAAAGAGAGATAAATGAAGACAGGCTATTATCAAAGAAGTAAGCTCTCCATGTTCACAAGCTCTGGATATGCAAATTCAATTAACTGAAGATTGAAAATAATAATAAAAATACAACATTTGTGTGTGTGTATAAATTTAAAAAGCACTGTGAGTTGTTGTTTCATCTCGCCTTTGGCTTGGCCTGGCAGTCTTGCAAGAGGGCCACGCTGGAAGACTTTTTCTGGCACTCTCCTGCTAAGGGCAAAAAACTCAACGAAGAAAAAAAGTGCAGGAAGGAAAGCTGGGGCTTGCACACACTGCGATGGCAGTTTCTGCCTTTGGAATGTACTTGAGGGTAGTGTGTGTCTGGAAGGATCAGGTAGCAAGGGAGAGAAAGAGGGGCACACTGGCTGTCAGCCTGGGGAGGCTAGGTTTTCTGTGTGGAGCAGCAGGTGCATTTGGGATATGCATGAGTGTGATGGGCTGGCAAGGGAAAGAATGATAGGGGAACTGATTGTCAAAAGGAGGAGGGGAGGCTGAGACTTGGACATGATGGCAACAGCAGCTTCTTTCAGAGTGTGATTGAGCTCCCTCTTCATCTCTTTATATAAGGGACCTGAACATTTGTGTGATTTTCTGGAACTAATCCCCCATGGGTATGGAGGGTCCACTCTATTTCCACCTACCTTGTCCCATCCCTTTGCCCCAGGAACCGAACAAAACAATGTTAATCTGTACTCAATACTACAACAAAGTTTTGAGAGAAAATGAAGAAACTGAAGCATGTCTGAGGTGTGTGTGATCGGTTTTGTCATTCAACCTAGATGAGGACAAGGAAAAGACTGTTTGCCTGTAGGCAAACTGTGGAAAATCATTTCCACCATCTCAGATTGGAATGATCAATTTGCCCTTCAAATGCACATTATTACTGCCTTCCATTTCAAACGGCCAGGTAAGTTTCCATTTTGTTTTATTTGTATTATTTTATTTTTTATTTGCTTTTGTTGTGTTAATATTGTTATATGAAACACTGATATTGTTATCTGCCAACTTATTTAACTACAATATGTACTCATGCATAAGCAGACATTTTGTGTAAGTTGAGGACAGGTTTTGAGGCCAAAATTATGGATTTTAATATCACCCATGGATAAGTCAAGGGGCATTTTGCAGAGAGTGGAAAACACCAATGCTAGGCATCACAGCCACGTCTTCACCCATGCATTCAAAAAAGCTGGAAGCAGCACTATGGTGCAAGGTGTGGGAGGAGGTTCTCTCAGGATGTTCTAAGCTCTTATCTTGCACCTCTCTTACTCAAATAAGGAAATGGTTCCTTTAAAAAAAAAGCGGTTAGATACATTACTCACATTGATTTGTGGAAAAGTTGACCCATTTTGGGTGTCTTGATTTTTTGACTAAAACTTTTAGACTTATACATAATAACATAGCATAGTTAAATTATGCTATGCTTTTGGGCTGTTACATTTATTCCTGTTACTAGTCATGTGGTATGTTGTAAGCTACTCTGGGCAATGTTTTATAAAAAGTAGAATGTTTTATAGAAAAGTAGAATACAAGTAATGAATGAAATTAATGAGCAGGATGGTAGTCCTTTTTTAAAAAAATGCACAAGATGCCAAAATGACAAACTGAGCCGTTGTATTTCAGATTCATTACAATGGTAATTCTTTTAGACCAGAGCTTTCCAAACATTTCAAGTTGGGGACACATCATTTTTGTGACACTGTAATTCAGTTTTACTGGCAAATTGGAAGTTAAACGAAACCCTTATAAGAGATACGGACACATACATAACTTGTAATAATGATATATGGGGATACAACATATCTCATGAAACCCTTTCATTTATATTTTTAAAATATATGATGTATTGTTTATTTCACATAAACTCAGAGGTTTCTCATTATTTTTGCTTGACACACCAACACACAGCAGCTGACACTGACGTGTCACAACACAGTTTGGAAAGCTGTTTTAGACAATACAAATTTATATACCTCTGAAAAAAATCCACTGTATTTTGATGAAGGGCTCTCTGCTTGAGCACGACCAGAATCACTGGAGTTCAGCAAGAATGTGCGATCATCAGCAGGCAGTTTTGCTGGCAGATTACCTGCACATGCCAGTTCATTTTCCTTATTTGCCATGTCACGGCTCTTGACTTTAGGAAGTAGTTTCTTTCTGAAAGAAGGCTTCGGAGAATAGTAGTGAACTTTTCTTCTGCAATATACTACTTTGAACAGAGGATGAGGGCTGATCACAGTTTGTCCAACTGTTGTTCTGCAATACAAAATGAGTTATTTGATTAGAGAACTTTTGTTTATTACATGTAAACAAATCTTTCAAACATGGAAATATGAAGATCTGAATATGATTTCAAAAGTTTTTGGAGTATCCAACTAACAAGGTGACTTTTGGACAATAGGCAGAATCTTAAAAGTACAGTCTGTTTCAAAAAAGATGGACTTACTTCAAAATCGCTACATTTTTCGACCAAGAACCTCACATGAATGAAACTCTTACCACTTGAAAGAGTAGGCTATAAAGTTTGAAATCATTTGCAAGATGGCATCCCTGCAACATAAGGCCAAATGATATATTCTCCATTTGCAGAGTAAATTTTAGTTATTATTCTGGATCAAAATGGTTAGTAAAACTTGGTAACTCATTAAACTGTTTGTAACTTTTTGTGCAATTGTAGCATGTTGCCATCATGAAATATACTGCTTTGAAATTGGGTCCATTCTGAAACACCATATACATTCATGATATTTATATGTCAACCGCTTACTTTATCTGGCTACAAACTAATTCTTGATGTTTTGCTCTTGGATGTGTTCAATAAATGGTGAAAACTTTATCTCTACTTACAAGCATTCACAAGAGGAAGTCTTACCTGCCTGAGCAAGAAGCCAAATGTTTTGTAGATTTCTTACCCTGGAAAGAAACAGCACAAATACTATCAGGAATGAAAAAAAGTTATAAATAACTCCAGAATGTATTGTTTATGTAATTTCACCTTGTTTCAGTTGCTGCATATAACGGGCAAAATCAGTTTATTTTTTATATAAAGAGCAAAACCACTAATGACTACTCTTATCTAGGTGAAGGGCAAGGTACTGTGACATCCATGCCAAGAGGCAGGATTATGACATCAGAGGTGTGACAAAACTGCTCTAATGCTACTCCTCTTGACTAATGAAAGGGACAAGGACTAAACTGGATTTCCACAGAGTGTGTCTTGGGTAACAGTGATAATTAGAGAAAACAAATTGTGTGGTTGATTTCTTCAGAATATCAACTAAGCCAGTGGTTCTTAACCTCTGGGTCCCCAGTTATTTTGGCCTTCAACTCCCAGAAATCCTAACAGCTGTTAAACTGGCTGGGATTTCAGGGAGTTGTGGGCCAAAACACCTGGGGACCCACAGGTTGAGGACCACTGAACTAAGGAATGATCCACTGTGATGTTAGATACCTAGATAATTAATCATTTGAAATTTTCAACATTGATATTCTGGCAACATCTAAACTCATAAAATAATTAAATGCTATAGTAAGTTTTATTTAAAGGAAAGGCTAGTTATCAATAAAATAAATTTCAGTGTATGTCTATGTTGAAATAAAATCATTTACTTTTACAGTCATTATGGGTAGTGTGGGCTGAATAAAACTGATTTCTCCTTTCTGAATGATCTTTTCACTGGATCATGGGTATGCAAAGTCCAACCCCACAAGCCATTTACAGCTGCCCAAGTTTGTTTTGTACATGTCACTAAGTTCTCAATGTCCCTCATTCAGCCCAGCTTTTAGTTTGAGTGGTTTCCTGCTTGCATAAAGCATCCTGAAGTCCCAGGCTAGCACAATGGAGGTACTTTACTATATTTTCTATGGGCCCTCACCTTGTTTATGAAGAAGTAGCTACAGCGGAATTTCAAGGAGCCTTTATAAGTGCTATGAGTCCTTTTTGGAGCTTATACATTTGGAAATGCAGGTGAAGTACATTATGATCTCACATATCTGCCGACGCCTGGCACCCACCAAGTGCCCCTCATTCAAAGAGTTCACTGGGAGTCAGGGATCTGGATTTCAATGCATTTTCTTTATTCATTTCCTGTATAACTACTGTGCTTTTTAAATTTCATTACCAAAGTGAAGCACTTTCTTCTTCAAGTGAATGAACAGAGTATATTCATATTGCACGTCCTGAAGACTATTACACTGCATGGTTCACAATAAATATAAATTTAGCAACAAAGGCATAGTTCCAGAGCAGTTTGGTGATGAAGGGAAGGATAGGACAGGGGTTGGTAAATATTGTTCTCGCTTTTAAATTTCTCACTGATTAGCTTCATATGTTGATTAGAAATTCCTTATGATATATATATTAAAGATAGATAATAATACAAAATAAGTTTCATTAAAATAAAAATAATAGCACAATAAAAACTTCATGAGAACAGATTTTTTTGTGGTAAAGACAAAAGGAAGGATATATCCCACTGTACGTATGTATGTATGTATAATTTCAAGTGAGTGATTAGAGGATTGGCTGTCTACTTTGGTGAGCATAAGATGTCAATCAATCAATCAATTTATTTATTTACTGTATTTATGCCCCGCTCTTCTCAACCCTGAAGGGGACTCAATGACAAGTTTCATAAAATCTGAATTTTAATTATAATCTTTGGAGTGACTGATTTGTTCATTTAAGATCTCAAATTGTTCTTATATAAAATGTAGTCAATACAAAAAGGAATGATGCCAATACAAAATGATTAGACAAATTAGCACAAATATATTTCCACACTGTTGAAATATTATGTGAGTAAATCAGACATTTATGGTTCAGTAACTGCTATGCCATTCTACAAACACTGAAACATATTTTGAACCAGTCTCCAGTTTTTCCTTCCATTCAATATCTGAGTAGAATAAATTTATGAACTAAGTTCACAGCTCTGGAGAAAGTAACAGCGCATTATCAGAAAGTAGTAATATCTAGAAGTACTAGCTACAGAACCGGAATACTGGGTTTCTATTTCCAGAAATGACTGATCTATTTCCTGTACCTTTGTCAGCACCAATTTACCTCAATATTCTTTTCATAATTCTGTCCTTTCAAAGACTAAGAAATGTAAGCTAGTAAATCACAACTATGGCTATGAATTATTCCCACTTTATTGTGGTATCTATGTTGGCAAAATATTATTTTATTTTACATGATCTGTGTTATATTCTTATAGTTTCTGTTTTAGAATTCTTAGTTTCTGAAGGGAAATATGTATCTGAGGATAGAAAGGTACTAAACATCATATGTACTCATGTATGAATTGACCTCAAGTATATCTCAAGAACTTTGCAGCCAAAGGTGGCGGACATCCATCCAGTCGGTGAAAACAAGACCTGGGGCTGACTGTAGCTCAGANCCCCCCCCCCCCCGAAATTTTTCAGGTTAAAAAAAATTGGTTTACTCATGAATTTTAACTGGTTAATCAAATCCCTATGCTAAGTCTATGAGACTGCACCTGCAGAAAAACCATCAAATGCACTGGAAGCATATCTTATCTTGTCTGTGATGGACAGTTTTTTTCTGAATGTGAAGAAACTTCTTCAGATTTCTGCAACATTGCCAGTGTCAACAGCTACAAATGAAAGGTCGTTTTCAACCCTTAAACATTAAGCACAATGAGGCAAGAAAGACTGACTGGACTTGCACTCTTGATTGTCCACCAAAGTTTATCAATACAGCCTGATTTCTGTCAAAGTGTATTGACACAGTTTTCAAGTGTTTCTAACAAACGTTGTGGTATTCTTTTGTAACTATAAATTATCAATTAGCAATCATTTTCAGTTATTTTAAGACTTGAAACTTTAACTAAAATAGAAATTTGATTTAATGAAGTCTATATAAAATATACTTGAAACCATATAATTTAAAGTATTTTATGTTATGGCACGATGAAACATGACTGTTACCCTTTGTAGTCTTTTACCTAGGTCATTTCTATCTTAAATGCTGGTTATAAGTTTTAATACTTTTTTATCAGTTTTATCTGCTGTTAATTCCACCCACATCGTGTGTTTTATTTATTATTTATTATTATTTACATTATTTCTATCCCACCCATATCAGCCCGAAGGTGATTCAGTCGGCACAATTCGATGCCATAAAAATACATACATTAATAAGCAAAAAAAAACCCATTATAGTTCATTTAAACATAAAGACAGAGCATAATAACAATTTAAAAACAAAGAACTATGTCCTCTCATTCAAATCCTCATCCATTCCATCATCTTGGGCCGTTCCTGGGTCATTTTCCCATTCAAGTTTGTCTATCTATTCCGAGGTTCCAAATGCTTGCTCGAAGAGCCACATTTTTATTCTTTTCCAAAAGGTCAGGAGGGAGGGGGCTAATCTAATATCGCTAGGCAGGCAGTTCCACAACCGAGGGGCCACCACCGAGAAAGCCCTGTCTCTCGTCCCCGCCAGACTTGCTTGCGAAGCAGGCGGGATTGAGAGCGGGGCCTCCTAGGACGATCTCAAGTTCCTGGAGGGTTCGTCGGAAGAGACACGTTCGGATAGATAAGCTGGGCTGGAATCGTTTAGGGTTTATAGGCCAAAGCAAGCACTTTGAATTGAGGTTGGTTTTAATCAGTTTTGGCTATTTTTGGCCTTACTAACCTTGCATACCTTGTATCTAATACCTTTTACGGAGCAATAAGGGTGTTTGGGTTGAAAAAAGCTGGGGTGAAAATTGCTGGAAGAAACATTAACAACCTCAGATATGCAGATGACACCACTCTGATGGCCGAAAGCGAGGAGGAGCTGAGGAGCCTTCTAATCAAGGTGAAAGAAGAAAGCGCAAAAGCCGGGTTGCAGCTAAATGTCAAAAAAACCAAGATTATGGCAACAAGAATGATTGACAACTGGAAAATAGAGGGAGAAACCGTGGAGGCCGTGACAGACTTTGTATTTCTAGGTGCAAAGATTACTGCAGATGCAGACTGTAGCCAGGAAATCAGAAGACGCTTACTTCTTGGGAGGAGAGCAATGTCCAGTCTCGATAAAATAGTGAAGAGTAGAGACATCACACTGGCAACAAAGATGAGCATAGTCAAAGCCATGGTATTCCCTGTAGTAACCTACGGATGTGAGAGCTGGACCTTAGGGAAGACTGAGC